GGGTGGGAGAGGGGAGGAGGCTGTGTGTGTGAAGAGAGAAGAAAGCAAGCCAGGGATGCTGGAGGTAAGGAAGGCTTGTGGGCTGTGGGGTGGGGGGAGTGGCAGAGCAGAGCTGGGGAGGGAGGACAGGCAGATGTTTGGGGGAGGAGAAACGGAGGGAGGATGAAACAGTTCTCAAAACAAACAAACAACAACAAGACCCCAACACCAGGCGCTAGTGGAGTGGGGAGCTGTACAAAAGAGAGCGCTCGGGGAGATGGCGAATCCTCGGCGCAATTTTCTCTCCCAAAGATAACCTTTGAGTCACCATATAAAATTTAATTATAACCTACTTAGAAGCACACATTTTAAAAATCCAATTACCCATTCGTCCTTGCAGGAGGTTTGGTGGGGCCAAGAAGGGCTTCCAAGGTGAAGGCCTGAGTCCCCACAAGATCAATCCTACCCAGCTTACCCTAAAGGGGCCAAACAGCTGGCTCCCCCAAACCCCTCTCTCTCTCCTGGCAGGCCTGTTCTTCAGGCAGGGTTCGACCCCCAGGCTGGGTGCAAACAGCTGAAATCCATGTCCATGGGCCAAGACTGGAAGATTTCTAACCTCCCATTCCTTTTCCAAATTGCTTGATTTTAAGAACCTGGATACTGAAAGCAGTTTAGCTTGTTAATGCTCTCACTCTCCCAAACCTCCACTTGTATGTTCATCCAGCTCCTCTCTTTCTATTTGGAGGAGGGAGGGGAAATGAGAAGGAAAAATACTGAATGGTCTCATAGAGAGCTTTTTAAGTGGAGTTGAAACAGGCGACCTGAAATGAACCTTGAATTGATGCATTAAGCTTATCTCCTAAGTAAAAAGCTTAGAGACCTTGTAATTATAACACCAGGGCATATGTCTATTTTGGGTCTTTAAATGACTGTTTGTTGCTTTATGAGATGTCATCATATTCTCTTCTAAGCATTCAATACAGGAGGTGCACTGTGGGTGTTTGTCCTGCCAGAATAGAGATAACCTAAGAGTTTTCATAAAGATGCCTTTTGAAATATGGCCAGAGAGAGAATGGTTGAATGTCAAATTTCAAATAGATTTGACCCCAATTTTTTATTTATTTATTTTTTTACTAAGCCAGCTGGGTATGGGTCCCTGTTTCTACTCAGCCTTTAGGCAAGCTTCTCTAGGGAGTCAAGCCAGGAAGGAATTCCTGGGGTCTAGAGGAGGTATAGGTAAAAGCCTGAACTGGAGGGTCTGTCTCCTGTTCCCCCTTAGTCTCCTTCTCCTGCATCCCAGGACATAATGTTAGCAAATTTATGGTCCTGTGGGATAGACTGGAGCAGCCCAAAGTCCTGGGCCAGAGGGGGCCTCAGGATGGGGAAGGAGAATCCTCTGCCACCCCAGGCCAAACTGGGTACCTCGGGACTCTCTCCCCCGACCTCCCTGTACTGGGGGGACACCAGTTCACTCCTCCTAGGCTTGAACTGGATGGAAGGGGAGTCACCTGATCTGCCTTTATGGGTCCCCCGGAGGCTGCAGAAAGGGGAGATGTGTTGTTGGCAGTCCACCAGATTCTGATCCTACAGGGACAAACCAAAGACAATCTCTGAATATTTTTGATGCCTCTTTGATTTGCCCCTGAACCTTCTTGTGGCGGGGATAGGGGTAGGCAAAGGAGTTACTGTATAGATAAGTGGTTTTAAACAAAAATTGCACGCTGGGAGGATATTGTTTTGTTTTTAAGGAAGAATTAGAGTCTCTGAAAGCCAAGTCCTCAGCTTGGACCGGTGCATTTCTATCTGTCTTCCCCAAATTTACTGGCCTATGGACCAAATCTCACACACCCCCCCCCCAGGTGGAGGGGTCATTCCTGAGCCTCTGGGACCTCCAAAGTTTGGGTAGAAATGGGGGCTATTTCTGACATTGGGGGATAGAATAAAGTAGATGGAGTATGCAGTAGGGTTGAGACACAGGCCCGCCAAATTCAGCCATTTATCGGGGAGACTAAAGAAGGTGGCTCTCTGGCCTGCTCTCGGGGACACAGACCCCGAAGGCCACATTTCTACTTCTCCAGGTTCCAGCCTCCTTCACAGGCCACACAGGCAACCCCCACAGGATCCTACCCTCTTCCTCTTTGCTGGGAACCAGAGCTGACAAAAACATAGGAATGACAGAATATTAAAGCGGAGGCCGGGCAGGCTGAGTCCTCTCCAAATGGGACCTTTGTGAGATGGGGGTTACGTTGAAGTGAAGGGAAAGTTCTGGCAAAAAGTGAGCCCGAGAGGATGAACTGAACCAAAATTCTGCTCTGTCATTTTTCGCCCAAGTAATGACCTGCACAAATTCAGGATGACCTAGCGAACTGCGCGACTGTACTATGGTAACTGGCTGTTCATGGGGGAGGCCTGGAGAGGGGTGAACCGCAGGTCACGGCGTCTAAAAATTATTAAAATGTTCAAGAGCCTCGTGACGCGCCTAGCTGTTTAACAAAGACTGCCAAAGTATGAGATTAATACTTAAACTTGCGCTTCAAAAACACACCAAAAAAAAAAAAAGTCTTGTTCCGGCCTCCAAGGGGGCCTAGAGCTCTTCTGCCGGTTTGGTTTTCTGGACACACAAGAGTGGACAAGAGCGAACTCGGCCGTTGCGGCGCGGCCGATCGCGGGCGGGTCGGTGGCCCGGAGGTTGGGGAGCCGCCCCGTGAGTACCCTGCCCGCTCTCGCGCTGGGCCTTCCACTCCCGCGGCTGCCAGGGCGATGAGCGGACCGGCTGGGGCTTGCCTCCTTGGCCCTTGGGTTTCCTGCCCTCGCTCTGCCTGTCCCTCCCACCCTGCCGACAAAAGGTAGATGATTTCTCGCTGGCTGGGCACGATCCGGGACGGCGGAGGGGCGCCGAGCAGCGAAAGGTCACGCTAGCAACCTGTGGCTGCGGGAGAAGGCGGCCCGCCAGCCGCTGGAGCTCAGGGGAGGTGGCTCGAACGCCCGCGGAGCTCTGTCCGTTTCTTATTTTTATTCTTATGCGCATTGATGTTAGGCTTCTTCTGGGAATGGAGGACAGAGGCAGATTCCCGTTCTGGTGAAACCCATCCTGGGAATCGCTGATAAGCCTTATCTTCTACCCATCGCGGCTGGACTGGGCTGAGGTGGGGGGTAGGACACTTCGTGGGATGGGTGGCATGGGCAGGTGGCGGCTCCCAGCGCGCAGAGGAGAACATTTCTGTGCTGTATACCTAGGATCAGCCATACACAGCCCCTCGGTGCTCCTGCCTCCCATCCCTCTCTCCTGGGGTGTTCTGGGCACCTGGGCCACATCCCTTGAGAAGTGTAGAGCAGCAGAGATGCCCGTGACCAGCTCAGCGGCCCTCCCATAATTTTGAAAAGCCCTGAGTTGGACGTGTTTCAGAGAGCTAGAGAGTTGAGGAGGAGGTATGGGGTGGGGGAGGGGCCCAAACTGTTGGAGTGGGTTGTGCAGCTCCTAAGTGGCCTTTGACAAGACTTGGAAAGGTCCTTGTTTGATGCCGGGGGCCTGGTGGAGGTCCTACTTAGACTTCAGTGTCCCTGGGTGCCCAGATGGGGGTCTGAGATTCAGATAGCTACAGTAGAATTGTGTGTGTGTGTGTGTGTGTGTGTGTGTGTGTGTGTGTGTGTGGTTTTTCAAATATATATGTGAGTCCAGCCTGGCTGGGAGGGTGTTGGCGGTAGAGATCAGGCTTGGAGGCCAACAGGAGCACTCTAGATTTGGGATAGAAAAGAGGGTCTCTGGACCTAGTTGCAGGCAAATGGGAGCGCTCCTCTTAGCCACCTGCAAGGGTCCCAGGACTGGGATGGGTAGAGACTTCTGGAGTGTGGGGGGCTAGAGGGTCTTTTGTGTGTGTGTGTTACTACAGTATTTGTGAACAAAATTGATATTATTCTGACTTATTCACTAGGGATACAAAAATTGTTCAGACCTAGGGAGATGGGTAGGGAGCCGGGGTGGGGAGGAAGTTGCTTCTGTGCACTCTTGGCCTTACAATGGGAAGGCTGTCAGCTTTCTCGGTCGAGGATTCAGTTCCCTCCAGCCCAGCCCCCTGTCTCCCAGTTTAGTACATGTACTGGTTGCTGGAAACCCCAGATCCCCCAGGTCTCCCAGATCCCCTTTTGGGTCCCACTGTCAGCAACCCTAGCAGGTGGCAGAGTGAGCAAGTTGTGTGTGAGAGAGAGAGAGAGAGAGAGAGAGCGAGCCTGCCTGGGGCTAGGGAGGTGGGGAAATGGGGGTCCTCCTCACACTTCAGGGATTATCCTCCATTTCTGGCCCCAGGAGGTCTGGGAGGTTGGGAGGGACCGGAATATCATCTGGCTGCATTTTTATGGTTCTTCATTGCCCTTCATTCGGAAATGAAACGCCTTTGATCTTTTTCTCAGGTTGTAAACGGAATTGCCCGTCATTAAATATCCAGGGCCCCATCTGCTTGGTCTCCCAGCATTTTTCTTTACAGCTGTTTCTCCCTCATTTTACCATTGAAATTTTCCAAAAGGACTTTATGACACCCGCTTCACACCCAGCCGCCTTTCCCCCCTCCCTTTGCTAAGAGGTGCCTTGAAAAATATATAGATATTCGTTTGATCGCAAACTAAAGGCTGCAAGGGTCACTGGAGGAGCCCATTGGGGTTTTGTTTTTCTTTTTTAAAAAAAAGTCCTGGGGGGATGGGAGGGGCGGGAGGGCACCCAGAAGGGCCCGATTCTGACTTGCCGCAGCCTCAGGATGACCCTTCCTCCTTTTGTGTTTAGCTAATGTTTACATCTCATAATTCATGCCCCACCGCGGAGCGTTGCGCAGCGCTGCGAGGTTTGCGTCTCTTTGCCAGACTCGCCGCTTCCAGTTCTCCCTAAAAGAAGAGGAAGAGAACTGAAAACCTTGTAATCCCAAGGATGGATCCGCAGTATCTTTTCCTGTTCCCAGAACTCAAAATCAGAACAGAACGAAATAAATTCAAAGCGTTCAAACCACACCCCAAACGAAGAACACCCGGAAAGTAGGAGAACTGGAAAATGTCTGGGCCAAGAAGATCTCTCTGTCTTCTGTATATACCCTGTAGATCCGAATTTGTGTAAGAAATTTTGTGGTCACAAATTCGTATCTAGGGGAATATGTAGTTGACATAAACACTCCGCTCATTTTTCTCCCCCCTGAAGAAATTTTTTTTTTCCTAAATGAGGACCATGCGGTGACTGGCCATGCGAAGACTCCTTCCTTCTTTCTTCTTCCTTCTTTTCCTCCGGAAACTGGTTAGAGAAATCATCTACCTGAAATCTGCCCATGTCTGTCCCTGGGAGCCTTGGTCCCTTTTCACTTCTCTCGATAGGTTTCATGCTGGTGGTGTTTTTAATGTTACCCTCTCTCTCCAGCCCACCTAGTCTCTCCTCTGGGTTCAGGGAGGTTTGACTGAAAATCTGGGGGAAATGACTGCTGTCCTCAGTGTGCGAAGGCAAAGGAAATTCGCTTTTCAAACGGATGTTGATGTCGCCTTTCCGTTTGGGTTCAGGACAAGATGCCCTGGAAATACCTGATAACCAAGGGGCGTTATTGTGTGTGTGTGTGTGTGTGTGTGTGTGTGTGTGTCACCTCCAGGGCACCTACCCCAGCACCACAGGGATGTGCGATCTCTGTGCACTGAGGAGGCTGTGGCATTAGTGGCTATTACCACGCCTTCACCCCGCGGTTAGTATTGCTCCGATGGTTCTGGAATTAGCAAATTGCTATTCAATGCGCTTTCAAAAGTTGCAGGGTTTTTTATCCACTGCTCACGTTCAGTGTGGGAAACCAAGTTGTTTCTCCCGTGTCCGGGAAGGAGCGGAGTGGGCAGGAGAGGGGAACAGACAGACGGACTGACAAAGCCAAACTAATAGCGCAGCTAAATGCGATTTGGAAGGCGAGGTCTCCCCGAATTAGTGCATGAATTTTCTATCGATCCGCCCGCGGTTCCATTCATCTCTGACAAGCCCCTCCGTGCACCCGCCCGCTGGCTCCCCACGCCTCCTCTCTCCTTCCCTCCCCCTCCTCGTGCGGCTGCCGGAGAAAAGCTCCACGCTCAGTGCCTCTCGCCCCGAGTGGGCTCCCCTCTCCGGGCAAAGACCCCCGTCCTCCTCTCACTTCGCTCCCCACGCAGACGCAGGGCGCACGGGCTCCCTTCCCGCGGGAGGAAGGGAAGGGGCCCACGGAGGCAGAGAATGCGGGCTGAGGTGAGGCAGGACAGGAGGGGCTACACGGGGAGCCCCAACTTCCGAGGGTGTCTAGGGATTGCGCTCTGCCCAGGGCCCCACCAGGCCCTCGGTTGGCAGCCCGCTCGCTCTCTCCCTGGGTCTCGGGACCGCCAGGCCGCCCCGCAGGAGCCCTATGCAAATCCCGGCGCTGGCTGGGTGTCTGTGGGTGGGTGGGGAGGGGGCAGAAGAAGGGGAAATAAACCCCTTTGGCTGGAGTAGGGTCCGGGTGAGCAGATTTCCTTATCCGGGGATCGCAGGCGGGGCGGCCATTGGCTCCCAGGATCACGTGGGGCCCTAACTTTGTTCACTTGACAGTAAGTAGGAGGGCTTTCGGAAACAGGAAAACGAGTCAGGGGTCGGAATAAATTTTAGTATATTTTGTGGGCAATTCCCAGAAATTAATGGCTATGAGTTCTTTTTTGATCAACTCAAACTATGTCGACCCCAAGTTCCCTCCGTGCGAGGAATACTCACAGGGCGATTACCTCCCCAGCGACCACTCGCCGGGGTACTACGCCGGCGGCCAGAGGCGAGAGAGCGGCTTCCACCTGG